GGTATAACACTAATTCCTTTAAATTTTAGAAAAGTTCCCCCGTCACGTATACTTTAAACAGCATTTCACGCTTCACGAATTTAATAGGAAAAGAATAAAATCTTTCTTCTTGTGTTGAGATTTTGAAAAAAATTCAGGTGTCACGTATATTTCAGATGGCAAATCACGCCTCACGCTGATTCATTAAGTCACGACTCTCTCTGTAAAGGTCATGCGTGACATATTTTGATTTTGGCCTTGAGGTGGATTTCCACCGTTGCGTTTTTTGTTCACGCACGTGAACGTGTGTTAAAAAGATTGTTTACGTAGAATAAATGCCAACGAGCGTAAACGCCGTTGTTCGCTAAATTTTGTCATTTCTCCATTTCCACGTTTTGTCAAGACCTTTACGTACGTTTTACGTAGGTTGCAATCGCGAGTAAATTGCAAACAAAAGTTGAACAGCCTTCAACCTTGACGCACGGGCCTGCGTTTTTTGTACGTAAAAAAATGCTTTGTATCCATTTTTTCGGGGAAATGGAAATTGCTTACGCACGTTTTACGTTCGCTAAAAGTTACACGACTCTGGAAATCCATCTTAAATTACGCGTCACACTCTAAAAACGGATGAGTGTGGTACGAGTCTAAGCTCAGCACGTGATATAACAGGTGATACCGATTTCATTTGACCTCAATTTTCCGTTGCCATTGAATGATGTGCTTGTCCGAACGAGTATCTTATTACAAAATTTTACTTCATGTAGTGTCAAGGGAATGAAATAACTTTGTTGAATGTCTGTGAAGAGGGCAATTCAGAAACAATCAACATCAAATCCTGCATACAAGTCATGATTTTTTTAAAAAACTGAGAGGTTAAACAAAGTCTCCAATGAATGAGATTACTAACTCAAGCCAGCTCTGGGAAACTCTTCTTGAAAGTTCCAGTAACTTGCATAACTCACATTTAACGGGCTCGAAACCATAATTCAAAATCAAATGGTTGCTTTTACGTTTAAAATCTTAAGGGAATCTTAGCCCCGCCCCCCCCAACAAAAACGTTTCCTCCCTCTTTTCCGTTTCTTCATGGGAAGAGAAGAGGAAGGGGGGGGGGGGGGGGGGGTTGGAAGGGTACGGCTAAAGGTAGGCTAAGAATTAAGCATGCGAGATTTCTAGTTTGGCTTTTAAGCGTCAGTTTTCATCACGTCACATTCAGCCACATTTAAATCTGTCTTTTGGCAAAAAGTGGTTCAGGGAACAAGGAAACTTGTGAACGTGTTTCCGAGATTACAACACAGACT